GGACTGCAGGGCCTGGGCTCTGCCTCCCGCTCCTTTAAGCCTCTCTGCTCTTAGGCACCCCATCTGCTTCCACGGCCTACTCTGTTAGCAGCGATAACAAAAACTCCCTCCGTAACTTTCTTGTAGGACTAAAACAAGTAAAATATTTGGAAAACATTAAATTTACATTAATTCTAATTCATACTAGTGTTACTTTGGCTCTAATTTTCTGCCTTACCAAGTTTTCATGCAGACACCAGCATGCAATGAGTGAAGGAATGAATAAGTGAATGAAAAGTCTAGGGACATAACAGGTGAAAAGCTGCGCTCTAGAAGCTGTCATAAATGTTGATCTTCTTTGATCCTACAAACATTCATAGAAGATATGGATCACTGCAACCAGTTTTTAGAGGAAGCCATGGTTCAACAGAGCTAATACGTGACACATCACTGTGAGCACAGCATGGGTGGATTCCCAATTTCCCTGTTCTCTGGTGGTGTATGATCTGCCTACCTCTCTCCCTTGCCCCTCCCCCTCCCCCCTGCCCTGCAGTTGTGGGATATTTATTTTGCAGCAATAAGAAAGTCATACAGCTGCTGCCGAGATCAGAGTCAAACCTTTCAAATGGCGGAAATGTGGATCATACATATATTAAAAAACTTTTCTAAGTTTAAATTCCTTTCTCTGTTAACAAGTAAAGACTTTTCTAGAAAAAGGATTGGGTAGGGGGGCATTATAAGCATTTCACATATGAATTGTATGCTATAATTATTCTGAAAAGTGGGGAGACCTTTTTGGCTGCTGTGAGGCTGCCCACCACCAACAGGAGCATGAGCAATACCTGGCTGTAGTTGAGGATCTTGAAGACAGACTCTGAGACAAAGAGTATCTTCCCTCGGTCACATCCTACGACAAACAAAAATCCATCTGCTGCCTAATCAGGAGAAATGGATAATCAATTTATCACACTTCAAGAAACATGACTGCAATCACTCTGATAGCAAATAAGGATTTGTGTTCTAAGTAAGCAAAGCACAGGATTGCTCTCATGGACAGTTTTACAGGTATCCTGAGGATAGGATGCTTAAAGCAAATGCCTTACGAGAAAAATAAGATTCTCTGCAAGGCAGATCTATATCTATATATTTATATCTAGAATCTCTATCTCTCTATCTCTCTCTATCATGTACTGACTACAGGGGAAAGCCCAATTATATAAATTCTATTTCAAAGCAGAATTCAGCTTAAGAATTTTCCTTTGATTGCATTAAGGTCCAGAGAAGCCATATTTTATTGCTCTAATTAAAACAACTCTGTGTAGAATCACAGAATCCGAGATTGGAAGAATCTTTAAGGTCAGAATCCCCCCTCCGATGTCTCGGCTACATCTATCCCCACTGGAACAGTTCCGTTTTCGGGGAGCACTGGGACAGTGGCCCTCTGCAATTGAAGCAGTGCCTTTCGTTTTGTTTTATGCTGCATCTGGATAGGGCTGCATCACTGGTACTGTTTTAACCCCCACTTCTCCCCCAAAGTGACTCTACCATACACAGGGCTGGCAGCTACTGCTCTCAAATGTTATTCTTTGACCTGGGGCTAAGCTGTTTGTTCCCAAGTGAGATAAGAAAAGCACAGCAATAATTTCCCTAGACTCTTCTTACCTCCTCTTTGCTTGAAATACTCTAAAGTGCCAATAAACTCTAAAGTGCCAATAAAGACAGGTGTAGGGACAGGACAATATTTGTTAGAGAGACTGAAGTAGACAACTAGCAAAGCTGTAGCGGCCGACAGCTTAGACTATTTAGTCTGTGTGTGCACGATTCCTAGCTTTTCAGATGGACAACTCCTGCTGGAGTATTTCCAGTGACCAGGAATCCAGCCCCATCTGCCAAGTACTTGCTCTTTACTCAGCTCCCACAATTCTAATTCACAGCAGGTCAATATCTTGCTTTATTTACTAGCGCCCAGTCTGCTCTTTGGAAAAATATAGAGAAACTCCATTCTCTTTTCCACAAAAGGGCCTGTGGGAGATGGTTTAATTCAGAGAACTAGGAAATGCATTCGTGTGTGGGAAGGTTGAAGAGCAGTTGGCCCTGTGCTGGGGTGAAAGGAGTGAGTAACAAGGGGAGAGATCACTGGGCTGTGGCAGAAGCGGGCAGGCCCAGCTGGGAGGGCTCTGGGATAACCTTTCCTGAGCTAGGAATCCAAGCTGGGCTGGGGCAAGGAAAGACTGAGGGGGAGACTTCGCAAGCACCATCTGCTAGAAGCCTCATTCTGTCAAAAAATAGGGTATTAATAACTTCCTCATTTGCCTTGCAGACAAACTTCTATCCAACAGGAAAAGTATTTTGAGGCTTTTCATTGATGCAGGGATGAGGCACAAAAGGTGCCTGTGAAGAAGGTGACTGTGGCATCCTGACACCTGGGCAGCCAGGCCTGAGCCCATGAACCCATGAACCCATAAACCCATGCCATGAGCGAAGTAGATTTCAACACATCAGGGTTTCCAAAGGCCAGTGGATAGTCAGTGGGGGGAGGCTCGACACACCCTGACCCTGCTTCACTGGGGAAGGAGAAGGGCCGAGGGGACTAAAGAGCAGAGCTGTGAGAACACCTGAGCCCCATGGGGACGCAGGAAAGTGGGGGCTGGTTCGCTCCTGGGGAGGACGGTGTTAGCAGGTAACACAGTGCCCTGGAGGGTCTGCCTACTTTTCAAACATGGGGAAATAGAGCATCTAGACATTATAAACAGACCAGGTGGACTGCTGCCTGACACACCGTTCATTAAAGATATCCAGGCAATCAGCTTTGCAGTGGGAGGGAAGAGAAGTCCAGTTCTTGCTGCCACACTGTTCAGAGAGTCTGAGCGGCCCCCATCTTCTGTTGAAGCAAATTCCTGGGGACTTTGATTGCATTAAGGTCCATGTTCCACAGGGGCCTTAGCAAGAGTCAGCCCTGGCTGTGGGGGCTCAAGAGCAGGTATCTTTCCTTTTAGTGATGTTTTTCTATTTTTATTTTTTTTGTTACAATTTGCAAAAGGACATGTTTCTCAATTCCATTTCTTTCCCTTCTGTTGAATCTCGCTCTGCTGGGAACACACCTTGGAGCCCTGTGCAGACCCACTTCTGCAGGAGGCTGAGTTCCCACGGTGCCGAGATGAATGAAGAGCTCCAGTCAAGTAGGTGGAAGCATCACCTCCTCCATTTATTTTCCTCGCTGGATTGTGGAGTCTTTGGAAGTTTTGTTATTTTGAAGGGATTTTGGCGTAAAGATTTCGGTGGATGTTCTTGTGCTAATGGTTAAGTGAGAATCAGAGGAATTCTCAATTGTTCAGTTTCAGTCCTTTTGTAAAAACTTCATGCAGGATTGTGGTTCTTAACTAATGCCTATTTTTAACAAAACCCTGCCTCTTCTGATTTAAAACCACAGTAGCAGAGCCCTTCAGTTTTTGCCTAATCAAGGGTCAGAGAGGAAGAGGAAGGTCTCGGAAGGAATGTGAGGCCTGTCCAAAGAGTGAGATAAAGAGGGAGGGGGCCCCAAAAAAGCTCAGGGTTGAGACATCGAATTCCCACAGGCTGGTACTTAACCCTGAAATCTGTGAAAATAAACGTCGTGTAAAATGACCTCATAATTGCAACATACCCTGAGGATGAGGTGTTTCAACTCATCATCTGACAGAAAAGTTGGTTTGTAGTTTGCTTCTGTGTATGGATTGGTGGCACCTTAGGGGAAAAAAGAAAAAAAGATTGGCTCACTTCACGTTCAGATAATGTCTCATCGTGCTTCACGGCCTCGGACCTTCCAGCCTCGTCCCTACCACCTGGGATTTAAATTTTACCTTCTTTTCCTCAACACACAAGGCAAGAGCTGGTTTTGAACAGAATCCTGTAATGCCAAAGAGAATTTCATTGAAAAGAGAGCGCTGTTGCCCGCAGGAGACTTAACGAGCTTGCCTTTAGCACTGCAGGGAGGCCTGGAGCTAATAGGAGGTTACAAAGCTGGGTCTAGGGGTGAAGGCAGCTCTAGGAGGGAACTGGCCGAGGCGCCCGGGAGGGCCCCCTCCTCCCAAGACGTACATTAAATGGGTTGTCCAGCGGCCCCTCAAATCACCACTCTAAATGCTCTTGGGAAGCCATCCAGCCTGCCAGGCCCTGAGTAAATATACTGTAGAAGGCACTTAGTGTGAGCCCCCCTTCATCAGCAGTGAGTTAAAGGAGCTTGGCAACCCAGAGAAACACATTACTTCAGTAAATGCAACTCTGGCTCTGGGACTGAAACGGAATAAGACTTATGTTTAAAAGGCTGTCAATCTGGCATCTTTCAGAACAATAACGTAACAGAGGAAAATGCCAGCAGTAAGTGACTTGGAATCTGCACAACGGTTAGTGGGAGAGGGAAGGAATAAAATGAAGGGGGTCTATAACCATCTACCGACCACGGGGAAGGAGGTAAACAGAACGTGTCCGTGACCTTCGTGTCGACCAACAGGCACGGATTATGGGTCCACATCCCTGCTTCTATGCTAACTCGAGATCTGCTCTCTTCCTTCCAATTTAACTGAAATTGGCTTATGGTAATCTGGTCTCTCCCATCTAGGCTAACAGGGATTTTTAAACGCCGTTCTCCAAGTACAGGCTACAACAATCGCATTTTTGAATAATGATTGAAAGTCTGACAAAACCAGCTACTTATTATTTCTGGTGGCTTTGTAGAAATAAAAAAATGCAATTCTTTTACCACACAGCTCAGAGATCTGACTGAGCGCCCACTTTCCAATTTCCTCAAATAGTTCAGGACTAGCTACGGAAAATTCCAGGAACAGCGTTCACCGAAATGCCCGATATGTTTCCAATTTCTCCTGTGGTTTGGGTAAGTCACTTCCCCGGTTCTGCCTCGGTTTTCTCAACCGCACCACACTCAGAGAAGGAAAATACTGCCTCCCTCGTAAAGGGTCGGGCCAGTTTGGGAAAATTCCAGGAAGATGAATATGTCAGTGTCTGCTCCTGACAATAAAAACGCAGCAAGAACCATGAACCAGTGACTCACTCTTGAAAGGAACCAGGGTGGATTTTTCTCTTAAACACCGACACTGACTTTCCTGGGTCACCAAGTGCACCTAGATTTCTGCTGCTTATCATTGTATGGGTGGGGTCCGGGCACGCGATCTGAAAGATGGGACATCAGCAGTGTCCTGATATGCGTGCAGCCTGACTACACGCACACCCAGAGGCGTGCTCACAGCCCCTACCCTCTGGGGGTGCAGGACTGCAAAAATGCATCTTGCTAAGCTCAGTAATCAATTCATTTGGCATCATGTCTACTGCTGAAAATTACAGGCACATTACTCAAGGCCACACATTTGCAAACCATAAACATTTGCTTTAGGGATTTAGGAACATTCTAGGCAAGGGTGGGACATTTATGGGCAAGGGCATCAAGGACAATAAAACCTGGGGTCTCACCTCGTAAAGTTTTCATGTGCTGAACAGCCATCCTTAGCACAGTAAGTTTATCTAATTTCCTGGACATCGCATTGCACGTTGGTACCAAGGACGCCAATTCATCAATAAAACTGTTCATTTTATCCCGACGCCTCTTTTCAATTTGACTGTGAGCTTCCCTGAACAACAATATGAAAAGTGAATTCTAAAAGCTGTAACCCAGTGTGAAGGAAACAATGACAATTTATTTGACGAGGAAAGTTTAGGATTTGCAGGTTGCTTCAAACTGGACTTTTCTATGAAAGTCACTAAAAAAGGGCATCATTGCCAGGTCAGGATTCACGTTTTTTTATGCTTATCTCATCCTTAGAATTAAGGAGAAATATTACAAAAACTGCCTTTTCAGAGCAAACGGTATGGTTAATTTTTCATTTCTTTTCCTCTCAGCTTCTGTAAAGTTGGATTTGAAGATGGGGCAGAAGGAAAAAGGAGGGAGGTGGAGGTTTTAAAGAGCAAAACATCCAGAACAGCCATCAGCAAGGGTCCCGTGGTCCCAGGGGAGCGGTCTCTGAGGTTTGGGAGGAGCCTGCTATGTGGCCCGCGGCAGGCTCATTGTTTGAGTCACCAGGTAACTGATGCTGCCATCCTCGGATCCAGCACGACCCCACATAGATACAGCAGGTGCTGCATCTGTCCCAGGAACTTCCTCCAGAGAACGTCACACTCCTCCCTCCCAGGACTTGCTGCCCCCGGCGCAGCACAGCGGTTTGCACCGGCAGTTTGTGACTGTCCCCCTAAGGAGGGGCATCCGCGGTGGAAATGCCTTGGCTGCCGCTGCCATAGCAACAGCCCCGAGAGCTCCTGCCAAGGCGGGTGTGCGAGAGAAGCTAGAAGTCTCAGCTCAGCCAAATTCTGCAGCCTCAGAGCGGGGCTGAGGGCCCACATGGAGAGGGGTCCGCAAGTGTGGCTGGAGGCAGGGGGAACCAAATTAGAGAATCTGCTCAAGGGAGCAGGGCATCCCCCGTCCGGACTTCAGGCGCAATTTTCAGAGGTGAGGTGCGGCCCAGGAACTGAATCACTGAGCCGGGTCTCCTCTAGAGGGCCCTAGAGTCAGGAGGGGGTAACTGGCCAGAGACTTGGGGGACCCTTAGTCTTGATTTATTTTCTGCTCTGTCCCAAGTGCTCTTCAGATTAACGATGCTTAGACAGGGAAGAGTGAAGGCCAGCGCAGCCTGGAGAGGTCAAGGCAAAGCGCAGTGCCCCCTCTTCATTCGTTAAGGATGTGACAGTGTGGAAGGGACTGTTACACAGGCCAGATGCCCAGAGCCTCCTGGGCTGCCCCCCGGAGAAGCCAGAGCCAGGAGAGCTGGACACAGAACGGGCGTCTTCTTACCGTGCGTTTTTCATCCTTCCTTGGTGCTCCGTGTATTCTAACCTGGAAAAAAAGCAAGAGCTAAGACACGACCCCCTGGAGACTGTAACTAATGGCACAGTTATACATCTCTGCTTTCTTCCCTGTTTAATTTCTCTGTTTAATCCCGGTCATCTCCCTACAACACACAACGCTGACTGTTAGCCAAACTGCGGGCTGGACGGAGACAATCTTGAGCCCGCAGGCTCATAGCCTCCTGTTTAACCCCATCCAGGACATGGGTACAATCTGCACCAAGTGACAGAATTTGTAATTACACAAGGAAATGGCTATGAGGACACTGAGATTCAAATGACTAGATTCACGGTACCTTCCATGGGGGTCATCTTTGTCTGTGTCCATGCTTTCCCTGAAAAACACACACACACAAAAGAGAACATGACTATTAAAGACATAAAATGCCTTCTGCTCACAATATGGAAGGCTCTCATTTATCCAGAAACCAAACAATTAGAAATCACAAGTAGCATAGTACTGACTATGGGTATATAATAGTCAAACAAATGAAGAAAAACTTGAAACTACTATAAAATTTAAACTGGTTTTCCAGATTAGCAAATGAAATTTATATATAGCCTCAATAGAGTTTCTGTGTATAAATATTTTACCATATTTTGATTGTGTAAAAATTGGGAATACGTAGCACTTATGGAAACCCTAGTTAGCCAGGGTATCCAAATAACTGTATTACCTCATTCCCCCACCATTCTGGATAAACGGAGCTTATTCATTTGAAAAATGTATCCAGCATCGAATACCTGTGCATACATAGATACTGGACTGTGTAGGGCACTGACATGAGGAGAGGAATCAAAGTCCCAACAAAGAAGCACTGAGCAGAGCCCAAGGCAGCCTTTCTAAGGCGCTGTGCCCTGTGTTCTGCTTCTCAGCACGTGGGGAACCCTGAGCAATGGGACAGAAGGAGGGACTGGGGCTGAGGGCGTGGAACCCTGTTTGGCTGCAGAAGGTGCTGGGGTCCCAGCATGAATCTGCCTCCCTTTAACAGACTCCAGAAATTCAAGTTTCATGGCATCTTGTGTTTCAGTAGAAAATACACTGAAATTCTCAGAGGAAGGAGCTCCAAGTCCCCCTGGGGTCAGCTCACAGCCTTCTTCAGCTCCTCAGCTTATGGACTGGGCACTGCCTACCACCTGGGCCTCTCCCGTTTCTCCTTCATCCCATAGAAAGGAGGGAGTATACCCTTCAAACAACGCAATTTCAAGGGCAAAAGCGACTTTCTCAGGAGCACTGAGTCTCATCACGGGCACTCTAGACAGCAGTTCCCAGCCAGGCGCCCTGGGTGTCCCTGAAGGCAGAATGTCTCTGCTGGTCCTAAAGCCCAGAGGAAATCACACAGGCCACACGGGCACATGAAAAGTTTCCTCCCCTTTTTCTGGACTTGTGTCTGCTTACTGAGGCCAGGGTGATCGTCTCAGATGAAGAGAAGCTCTGCCTGACAGCTATGACTTTAGTACAGCAAAATTATAGGGAAAGGGAATTATGGTTGCTTAATTAATAGGGTCTCTATGAATTCAAAAGACTTGCAAACTGGGGTCCCTGAGGGAAAGCTGAAGGTCTTGGGGGTAACAAGGTTGGAAACCATAGGTAGCAGAGGTCTTAAAATATGTCAGTGGTCCATAGAAAACATCTCCTGGTCTCTCTGTTGTAGAGTTACTGCTACAAGAAAACCCTTTGGTCCTCACACCCACTCTCCATCCCCTGGGCGTTTGCTCTCTGAATCATCTGGGATAACTTACATATTAATCATAGCACCTCCTAGTGGGCATCTGACCTCCAGCCACTGTGCTCCCCAAATTCCACCTGTGAACTTCAGCAGAAAGGACATCTGCTGTAGGGGGGACACCTCCTTGCAGATTTTCCCTCGTTAAACAAAAGTAAGCCTCTTAAATAGAAATTTGGGTAAGAGTCCACGCAGAGGCCTCAACAGAACAAAACGTGCCTCTGGATGTTCTCTATACACTGCCTTACGCCCTAGTGTTTGCACAGAGATAGAGGAGTTGACTGTAAGTGTGAAAGTTTACTTACTCAAAAGAAAAGTCATCAAGTCTAAAAAAAAAAAAAACACAAAAATACTATTTAATATAACAGGCACATACTAGTATCAATAATGTTTAAGGACAATATCAATGTTCCTATACTGTTTTCAGAGATTACTACTTTCTTATTCCAAAAGTATTAATTAAGCAGCTGATGTCTTCCTCAAGTTTAGGCCCTCAGGCGAAGCTCTCTCTGAAACCACTGAGGTTACACCCATGGACTTCGGCATCTTGCTCAAAGGAGCAAAGGAAGATAAAGGAGGGGTGAGGGCAGAGCTTGGCTTTAAGGCTCTTCTCTTCCCTTCGATATGGAACAGTCTGGGGACAGAAAGGGGGGGTGCCTCAGCAGTGCTGGAGGCTCCCCCCACTTGCTTCCAGGGGAAAGAAAATAAAAACCAACTGCGTGGCCACCTGGAGCGACATCGTTCATTCCCATCCCTTTCCACAAAGAGGGTCCCTTCTTCCAGGAGAAACGGCAGCTGGCCCCCAGATGCTCCATGCCCACGAACTGACCCCGATTTAGCCAGAGGACGAGCCTAAGGGCCTTACTGGTAGTCGGTGGAGCTGCCTTTCCGTTTGCGGGTGCAATCCACGCCACTGGTGCCGAGGGGGCTGGAGAGGAGGTCGGTGGCGCCCGGGGACATGAAATCACTGATTGTTGAAGAAATGTCCATCCTCTGGTCCGCCATTGGGGGTCTGGAATTGGTACAAGGAGGCACAGAGGCGTGTTTATTTCCACGTGCTCGTTTAGAGGGGTGCAGGGCCGGGTACTAGGGAGGCACGGAGACGGGGTGCCTGTTAGAGCACCCACACACCTCTCACCCAGCACTGGAGCAGGCGCTGGGCGGGTGGGGAAGAGCGTCGTACCTCCTTGAGGGTTTGTACAGGCAACTGAGGCTCGCCTGCTCGTTTTGCTGATGAAAAGCTCAGAGGAGCTAGGGTAGGGCGTGGGAGAGCTAAACCAGAGCCCAGGGCCCCGGGAGGCACAGCCAGTGCTTCCCCCCGAGGGGACAATGTGTCCCAGACGTTCTCTGAGAGCCCTAATTTCATTTTCTTCCAACCAATAAATCGAACCAATGAAATAGATATGATTTACTTGTTATCTTTGCATTTTTGTTACAACCTTTGTAAAAGTCATATGAAAGCAGAAAATATACTTTCTCAGACTATACGGGGTAGAGCAAAAGTAGGTTTACAGTTGTTCATATGGAAAATAATACAATAATTAATAAATAACAATACAAGAATAAACTCTGTGTTTCATGGACTCACAACTGTAAACCTACTTTGCCCAATATGGTCCCTCTCTTATCAGCGACCCGGACAATGTCTGTCCTATCTTCCCTGACTGTCCTTTCCTACCCAGCATCCCCTGAAAGGTAAACCTTGCCTAATAAAATGAAAACACTATAAATAAATTTGCAAAACATTTTGAGAATTTATACTTTAAAAGTACAAAGAGAGCTGGCCCATAAAAGAGGCTGACAAGTACCTTACAAGGAACTCCAGCTCCAAACCAAGTTGAAGGGGGGCCGTGTGCCGCCCGCAGTCAGAGGTCCGAGCTGCACACGATGTGCCTCGGGCTGTCACTCCTTCTCTCTGGGCCCAAGTTTCCTCATCTGCAAAGCAACAGAGAAGTGTGAGTGCTTGTCTGCACTATTACTATTATGCTCACAGATTAGTGCACCAGGCCCTCCTGGCCAGGTGTAAGCCAACTTCTCACTTTCATAATCACTGAGGAGTGAGCGTCTTGGTGCGTGTATCTCCATGCATGTGAGCTATTATCTCTCAGCATAAATTTCTATAAGTAGGACTACACACTGAAACACTGTGCTCCAGAAAACTCCAGTGATTTCGATCCTTCACAAGAGTTCTTGTCCATCTGAAGGTAAAAACAAGACCTCATTGTTTTTACTTGTATTTTTAAATTACTGCAGATGGTGTTCCTATGTTACAGGCAGTTCTCTGTTTCCCTCTGTGCCTACTCATGTCCTGTTTTCCTACCGAGTTGTCTTCAGTATGTACGAGTTGTCTTCAGTATCCTACGAGTTGTCTTCAGTATCCTGACTTATGTTCACCTGGGAACCTGAACCTGATGGGAGTAAAGCATACAGTCCTCAGCCTCTCACCCAGAGGCCCTGTGCTGCCCAGTGATCCTGGACTCCCTGCTCACTTGCTCTCACACCCTGTTATCGAGGATGTCATACTTTCTCTTTGCTCCTCAAGCCCCCAACATCTCTCAGACCCTCACTCTCAGCTGATAACTTTGCTTTCTACTTCACGGAGAAAAGAGGCCAGCGACCACAGCGACCAGCCTACCTACAGACTATTGGTGAGGACCCCACACCCAGCGTGTGCCGAGTCCATCCTCTCTCTCGACTCAGGCCCACGCTGCTCCAGAAGTCTCTCCCTGCCCCCAGTCCTATGTCATCCACTGTCCCATCTCCTGGACCACTCTTACGAGGAGAAAAACACGTTGCAACAACTCTCACTGGAGGAAAAGACACCTTTGGGCTCCAGTCCTCTCCAGTTATCGTTCCATTTCTGTTTCCAATTCCTTTTCTCTTACTCTCTATAAATCAACTCCAATCAGGCTTTTGTCCCATCATTCCAATAAGACAGCCTCTATTGTCACCAGTGACCTCCTCATTGCTAAGTCCAATGGCCAGTTTTCCATTCACTCCCTACTTGACCCGACAGCAACATCTCATAGATCTGGTCTCTCCCTCTTCATTGTTCTTGGTTTCAGAGATGCCACCTTCTCACTTTCTACTTCAGTGGCTACTCCTTTTTGGTCTCTTTAGCTGGTTTTCCTCAGCTCCCTCACCTCTATATGAGTGTCCCATGGATGTCCTTGGGCCTCCTCTCTGTCTATACTCATTCCCTTGGAGATATATCTAGTTTCATTTCTCACCCTAAAATCATAAGAATATTCTCTTTACAAATATTCTTATAATTTTACTTTATTTAGTTATTTAACTCATTTGGAAATGATTTTTGGTTCACTATCCAAGAAATTCCCAACTGTATTTCCCTTCAGTGGATACACAACCATCCCAAAACCATTTACTAGACTATACATCTTGCTACCAATCATTTGAAATGCCATCTTTATTGACTCATTGCCTATTTCTGGACTTTTCATTCCGTTCCTTTGATCTAGTTATTTCCATTCCAGTACCACACTATTTATTACTGAGGCATGATAATACATTTTATATCTGGTAGAATAAATCCTGCCCCTCATTACTCTTCATTTCCTGGCTGTTCTGATTTATTCTTGGAGAAGCACTTTATAATGATTTAATCACGTTAAAGGCCCTGTTGGGTGGCTGCCATTGTTGTTATATTATTATTGCCATTAAGAGAACTAGGTGAGGAAGGAGAACAGAGCCTATTGTCAGGGTCTCAGTGACCCTTTGGGCTGCATGTCGGACACAAGTGCTGCCTCTGGCCCACCCTCTCTTTTTGAACTAGACAATTGCGTGAGATAGAGTGTTCGAAGTTTCGGGGCCTGGAAGCAACCACACTTCCTGAAAGAAGAACTGCCAATGGAGCTGCCAGTGAGTCAGTGGGCGAGGGGGAAGGTAGGAAATACGACGCTTGATTACCTGAAGTTACAGTTCTTCAACCTCAGATCCAGCCCTGGGAGGAGTAAGGAGCCAATGGACTTGTTGGTCACCTCAGGGCGATTTTCATGTTTTGCAGTTTCCTTTCAGGTAGTCAACTTCTTTCAGAAACCTACAGCAGGGCCCACAGAAAAAGAAAACCCAGACAGTTCACTTTGGGGTAAATATGTTTAAAATCTCATGTTAGTAAAGGGAGACGGGGCAGCTAGCTCAGGACTCCCAATTCCAGGGAGTAACTGGACGGCTCACAATCCCATCCTTCAGCTGCCTATTAAACTAAACTACAGACACATGGTGGGATCATGTGTTGGTGGTTTAGTTTAACAGGAGATATTTCAGCAGGAGATATTTTCTGTGAAAAACAATGCCTTTTAAATTACTAAACATGGATTTGGGGACATGGCCTGAAGAGAAGAAAGATAATTATATTTTTCATTTCTCATACTGGGCCAAGCAATTGTAACAGTGAACACTTATTAAGTGCGTACTTTGCATGGAGCCCTGTTCTTATTACATTGTGTAGATTAACTCACTTAAACCTGAAAATAACCCTATGAGGCAGATACTGTTGTTTCTTCCCTCTTGCCGAGGAGAAGGCCGGGGCAGAGAGGTGAAGGAGCTAGGCAAGGCCACACAGCTGGAGTGGGGGGCTCCGGAGGCTACACTCACTGCTAACATCACCCAGCTCTCCCACGTGAAGTCACCCAAACGCAGACAACGAGGAACAACGGAAATACGTCTTCAGAAAACATTGAGCCAAAACAAAAGGCCACGGAGACAACACTTGCACACCTTAGCTGGCGTCCGGAAGTTTAAGAAAATGCCCGTGAACCTCAGGCACGTCTGTGCACACACGAAGCTAAGGGAGAAATCAACTCGGAAAAGGTGCTCATGTTAACACGGGGGTCTCCTCTCCACCGTGCTCCCTGAGTTGGGGGAAGCGGCTCTCAGGGGACAGGAGGCCCAGCCGCGCTCCTCCCCCTTCCCGGCTCTGCCCCAGGTGGGAAACTTCGATTTTAGGTGGGGCTTTGCTGACCTCGCTGAAGCAAGAGCGCCGGCCTTTCACCCTCCGCTGGCTACTTCTGGCCATCTGTGGACTGTCTACCTTTGTCTTGATCACTATAAAGGCCTTCCGATGAATAGCCAGGAATGGAGAGGATTTTGTCTTCTCTGCTTTGCAGTCTGACTCAGAAACCTCCACCGTCTGACTCTGATAACCCCAGTCTCTGGGCATGTGGCAAACAACCTGACCCGGAGCTCTGGACTTGTAGTTCCTCAGCCTCAGGTGACACAGCAGCGGCCAATGGAAGCAAAGGCCCCAGGAAGTGCTGCTGGAGGCAGGCTTGCCATGTGGCTCCATCTAAGTCGGATTCCCCAGCCAGGTCCCACACCATCCTCCCACCCCCTCTAATGAGCATCCCAGGATCCACCCCCATCGCCCTCACACAGCCCTCCGATGGATGGGTCCGGCCACTTCCCTTGGTCCCCTGGTCATTGCCTTCAACCAGGATGCTCTCCTCAGCCCCGCCCCCTCCTCACTGTGGTCAGAGACAGGATACCCCCTGCTCAAAACACTTCAGTGACTTCACTGCTCTGCTCCAAGCCTTCCAGATAAAACCTCACATTCCCTAGCAGGAAATGCCAGGCCCCCACCATGGCTTTCTTGCTCTCCAGCCCAGCCTTCCTCATCTGCTGCCCAAAGCTCAAGGCCACTGAGATACTTAAGCTCCCAAGGGCACATGGCCGAGGCTGTGCCCACACTGTGTAGCTCCCTTCAGCCACTCCATCACCTGGTGAACTTCTGCTTTCCTTTCCAGTGATGTCAGGTGTCACCTCCTAGAAGAAACCTTTCGCTCTGTTCTCCCCATGGTGCTCCTGCCCTTCCCTCCACACCCTACAACCTCTCTCTACCTTCTGCCCCCCAAATGTGATCTTATTGCTAGGTGTCCCCCAGTACCACCCTTCACTCTCTTTCCCCCCTCTGAAACTTAGATGAAGGTTCTAAGTACCAAATGCCACAGGAAATTTCTTTTTTTGATCACTTTTTCCAATACTCATTTTTCTTTATAGAAATAATAAATGCTAACATGGATTTTGGCACTATATTTTGCAAAACAAAAATCAAAGGCCTTTCTTATATGCTTGGACAAGGTAAGGAAATGAAATCAGCTGTGACACTTAACAATTATTTTTGGAAAACTGTCCTCTCTCCAAGAAAATATTCTTAGATGTAAGACAACAAAAGAAACAACAAAAGAAAAAGTAAAAAACACCCTCTTTCTGTGTTACCTACTTCCAAAAGAGATCTGACCCAAGGGAAGGGGCTCCAACTGAGAGCCACCTGTGAGAGGGGCCCTTATTAAGGGGGGCAGGGCCAGCCATGGTCCTGCCATCAAACTGGCACAGGGCAAGGATGCTTTGGGGAGAGCCTGGCCTGTGGTCCTGGACTCACATGTGGCCTTGGGCCACCTTTGTGCTCACTCCTGAGTTAGAGATTCCAGAGGTGGGGGAGGCTGACTGGCCAGCCAGAAAAACAAGGCACAAAGGGACTTGTGTGGTGTGCCTGGGAGGGACGTGGGGCACCCTCTGTCCCACCTCAGTGCCCTTGAGCTCCTCAGAGCACAGGGAGAAGAATCTCAGGGGCTCCACAAAGCAAGGGGGCTGGGAGAGGAGCCGCAGCGCAGGCTGCCCTGCAGCGATGACTTGGCAGCTAAGGATGAGGGTATCGACCATTTCCTACGCCCAAGGGAAACGGCTGCTCCGCTGAGCGGAGTGGGGCGAGGCCGAGTGCCCCTTAAGAAACCCACGCGTCGTCTCCAGGAAGATGACCACGCGCAAGGCCAACAATCACACGCAAGGCGCCTCTCTGCTCCCGCTCCGGGTCCCAGCACCCTAGCACGCTGCAGAGAAAGGGCGGTGCAGCTATATTAAGGTTCTAGCAGCTGCGCCTCCCGGTGGGGAGAGTCTGCAGGCTGCGCGGCTACCAGGCCCGTCCCTGTTATTTGACCTCACTGACGAATTCGACTGGATAGAACCTTTCACACATGTTTCTTTGTGCCAAGACCAGCAATTTCCCGCACAGAAGCTCCTCCTTTAGCCCCAGTTCTGGATGGCCAACAACACAAGGAGGAAATAAGCCTTTGCTACTGCAGGCCACTGAGACGCCGAGGCTGGTTATTACTAGGATGACCAAGTCTTCTGTTTGCCTGGGACCTCCCCCTTTAGCACTGAAACTCCCGCATCCCAGGAAACCCGTCCCAGATAAACCAGGATGGCTGGTTAACTGGTTCTTACAACCGTGCCAGTCCTCCTAAGCTGACCAACACAGGCAGGAGGAAGGAAACACACACCAGGATCCTGGAGCCACAGATCAGGCTGACCTGGGAGGAGCCAAAGGGAACAGTGGCATTCACACTGGACGCGTTTAATCTTCAAGGTAACCTATCCATTAATTGTGGTCATTATCCCAATATTCCAGGGAAGGAACTACAGATTGAAGAGGCCAAGTTATCTTAAAATGGCACAGCTGGTACCCTAGCTAGTTTTCTCAGTGGTTAATGCACTGGCCTGTGTACTGAAGGGTCCCGGGTTCGATTCCAGCCAAAGGGCACGTATACCTTGGTTGCAGGCTTGATCCCCGGTCCTGGTTGGGGCTCATGCGTAAGGCAACCAATTGACGTGTCTCGCTCACATCGATGTTTCCCCCCCCTCCCTTCCATTCTCTCTGAAAAGCAATGGAAAAAATATCCTCGAGTGAGGATTAAAAATAAAAGATGGCATAGCAGCTGGCAATGAGGACTGAACCGGGCACTGAGGACTGAACTGAGGTGTGTCTGGCTTGCCATTGACTCTAACCACCACACTGCTGCTGGTCCTGCCTTCAAAACCAGCCCAACGAAGTGACAAAAGTTGTCTCTGGGCTTCCTGGCGAATAGGGCAGAGAGGGAAACACTGGTCCTCCCCAGGCTCGGTCCTCCAGCCAGCTCACTGGAACAGAATGAGCAAGGCGGCCTCT